GCTCAACGCGATATCACACAGATCATCAGGAAGGAGGATGTAAGGTCGAATTGTACCCCGCAACCAGTCGAAAAATCTATATTTAATTTTATATTTATTGTTTAAATTAACTTCGCACATATTTTCCGATTTTACGACGATTTTGAGTTACGCCCGTAATAAAAGTCAACTGAATTTATTTTCAAACTCGGCTTTTAAATTTATTTCCTACTAGCAGTCAGTTTATCTGTCAAGTTTTGAGCTGAAACATTTGCCCCGTGTAATTGTTATTTGGATCCCTTGCGCGTTAAGGGAGGTCGCAAACTTTGTTTCAAATTAACATGTCGCAAGGTATTTCATATCGCAATATTAAGCTCGTAAAAGTTTCACAATCTGACATACGTCTGACGTTCCTAAACGTGGGAAATGGGACGGAAGGAGACTAGACGTAAACGGCGTAAAATCCTATTGTCCCACATTGAGGTGTTTGTTTCGTATGTTGGCAGACGTATCCCTTAACGCAAATCCTTTGCCAGGTTTTCAGGCGACGACAAATCATGGTCGTATTTACATAGATTACTAAATTGTTTGAAACTGCTTTGATCCTTTATCATTTTGTTATTAACGAATTTTAGTGAAAATCACTGTAATCTCTCATTTCTCATTGTCACTAATCCTCCCGTTCTCTGTTTCGGTGCGTACCAATTCAATCAATACGCTCTGAAAGTGTTGATATCAGTTCCCTGGTTGATGACTTGCTTGACGATGACAATACACAGTGTCACATATAGATAATAATCGGCGTTATAGATACTCAGAAAAATGCGTTTTGGACCATTGATTTAAAAATAAGTTTGCTGCATAAATCTAAGGGCCAAATGGCAACAAAGTGGCAAGAGGGACAACCCACTGTGGAATTCTAGTGCACAATCTTTTGGAATTCATGGAATTCTTATGGAATTCATGGAACCCTTTTGGAATTATCTTGGAATTTAAGATATTATTTTTTATCTTTTTACAAGCTACGGTTTAGATTGTGGCTTAATTGAGTTTTACATAATTACCTGGAATTCAGCTAGATAACATTTTTAAAGTGAGTATTTCTTATCGCTCGGTATGACTGTATGTTTTGCACGGGACTAAATTCATTTCATCTGTCATGACTCGCTTCAAGTATAATATACTTACTCATCGACTTATTTTTATAATACAACGCGGCAACAATAAGGGAACAAAGGGGAGAGACAGAAGTAGTCACTTCTGTCGGCACTCAACAAATCAACCTTTAAGTTCACAAACAATTGAATACTTTTTCTTTGTACATGTTTGGCATCCACTATAAACAAAAATCCGAATGTTCACTTTATTAATTTAAAAGACACAGTAGCCTCGATCAACTCCCGACAATTCCAAAGAATTAACTAAACAAATTTTAATTAACACCTTACATAACAATCAGGCGCGAATAAAAAAATCTGACGTGAAAACTCTATCTGGATCGCACTTTGGGTTCGATTTAATTGACAAAGGCAAAAATTTACTCCGCAAAACATAAAAAAAAATTGTTGATTTACAACAATGCTGGAAGAAAGGAACGCGATCGGGGTCTATTTTTACATATACCACGCTGGAATTGTGGAATTCAATGGGACAGTTTTGGAATTTTGGTGTAGTTTACCCCTAGCTGCAACTGATGCTGTTTTTCTTCGACTGCACTCTTTCACATGATTTGATTGTATTACTGTAATCAATGAATAAAAGTTGGGCTTTTATTCAATCACCTAATTGAATGTAGGAAGGCTATTTGAAGTAGGCCCCGGAGACAAAGGCCCCGGAAAAAATGTTTCAAATTCCGATGTTTGTTATAACGTTAAAGTCCATTTTTGCGATGAAATACGCCTCTAAAGTATAAAAAGTTCGTTTAGCACCCACAACAAAAAGATTCCAATTACCACGTTTAATAAAAGATTAATATTCACCTTTAATACTAACAAAGAAATTAGCATTCACTTAGCGACCCCACGAGGGGGTGAAATTCGCCACTAAAAAAATTCGTTTAACCTCCAAAAGGTTTCAAGTTCTTATGGTGCGCATAAACAACAGTTCGAGAGGGTGAAATCTGCATATTATGATGTACAGAAAAATTCGGGTAACACCTACGAAAAGAAGGTTTCAAAATTCTCATGGTCAGCATTCAAACTTTCCCAGAGACTTCGCCAACTCGTATGGGGTTCTTTAGGAGATCTTGAGAGACCGCTCAGACGTTTTTTGAGCTTATTCGGGCATTATTCAAAAATTTTGCAGAAACTACTCAGGGGTTTTTAAAGATTCCTCCGAATATTTTCTAAATATTCTTTGTAAGACCTTACTAAATTACTAATAGAGTGTTATTAACCCAATGAGATTATTCATAAGATTCTGCTTAAGCTTGATTCATAAAAAAACTGTAAGCAATTTAATTGTTATTTATTTGTCTGTCGAATGCTTGCGTGCGGAGTAATATGTCCAAACAATCTGCAACATTTTCTTTCTTTCATGGGTTTTGTTTTAATTTTTTTCATTGTGTTTCGGAATAAATGTTTGTCATTGTCATTCAATTAATTATGTGTTTATTCGAATCCAGTATGCGACCCGGATAAGAATTTTCATGTCAGATTTTATGGGACTCTTGCAAGATCCTTAGAGTTTTTCAGAGATAATTCAAGGGTGCTTCAGGGATTCTTGTAACGTTAAGGTTGTAAATCTTAATGCCCACCCAAGCAAATCATACACGAGATAGAATTCGGTCGGGGATTATCGTATATTTCAAACCCGGTACGTTACCGACAATTCGCAGATTGTTAACTGATAATATTTATTGTAAGTGTTTACATGCTATTTATATCACAGATTTAGTTTCCTTAACCTGCGTCAATTGCGCTGGTATGCAGGAAATGCTGATACGTCATCCTTCCCAATAATGTGCTTAGTATTGTTTTACTAGCTCTGCAGTTTACTTTCTTGTAGTAAAGTAGTACGCACATTTCCCTATTAATTGTTCAGTATTTCCTTGTTATTCTAAAAGAATATGTTTCCTTAATTTGCATTATTTTTTGAGATTACATTAACATCGTATTTCTCAAAAACTTCTTCTTTGAGGGGTGCTTTGTGTAGGAGAAATTTTATTTGGTGTATTTACGAGGATTTTCGCGAAAGAATTTAAGAAGCGCGAGGGATTGGTGACAAAGTGCGAGTTAACTGCAAGCTTAACCATTGTGACGGTAGTTTTAGTTTAATTGGTAACAAGGCCGTTCATGAACCCGCGAGTAAGTAAACTGATATCGTGATAAACAGAAGATTCTTTTTCGAAATGCTAACGGTAACGGCTGATTAAAGTGTTCGATTACTCTTAGCAATTTGCATATTAATTTTGTTTGAAGTAATTTAATATTCCTAAAGGAATTGGCCTATGAGAACCATGCATGAACAGATTTTGTATTAGTATTGATACTGTTATTTTATTGGAAAATTTTCAAATAATTTCAGTGACACCATTCCTTTGGTTGGATGAGAATTTTGTTTAGTATTCAGAGGTGGGTGTATATTTTTAAACACGAGAATGTACCGGGAATTCATTATGTGGTAAAGATAAAATATTTAAGTAAGCATCAAATTTAGCATGGGCACGTGATCACGGAATAGGCATTGTCTTTTTTTTATTTATCAAAACGGTATTTGTAATCATCTAAAGTCGCAGGCGTATTTATTCAAGCCAAAGCACCAGATTTTAAATTTCAGGTTTTAATAGAAGATACATTTTTATTACTGAGCTAGCTGTGGGTAAAATAAAAATTAATGGTCATATTGAAAGTTTAATTTTATTGTATGCAAGTATGGTCTTTGACCCTTGTAAATGTGACTACTTCGTTACAAGATAATCCTCGACCAGCTTGAGATTCAAAAATGTATTAAATTGTTTCTGGAATATTTTTAAAAATTGTAAGGTTAGTTAGAGAGTAACTGAGGACCTTTTTATGAGTCATGGAAAATTGTAATGAAAAATATCTTCTTTGAAATGCCTTGGATATCTGTAAAAATTTGTAAATAATCTCTTAAGAACCTCTTTAGCAAACATCTTATCCCTAGGGATAAAAAAAATTGTGGAAAATCAGCTGAAAAGTGTGTAAATACTTCCGCAAAAATTGACACTCACTTAGCGACCTCCGAGGAGGTAATGTATAAAACAATTCGTTTAAGACTCACAAATAGACGTTTCAAATTCGTTACAGAAAAACTGCATTCATTTATTTAGCATTGTCCGAAAGATAAAATCCTTCTCTATGTAATGTATTTTATAGTAGATGTTAATTTGCCTTTTTAATGGGTTTGAACAGCTAAGCTAAGTATCCTTTTATCGGTACGGGTAGATAAAGTTATCACTTTAACCGCAAGTGAGACAAATCATTGTAAAATCCAATGACATCTGTCATTTTTATTAAAGATGGGACACGGAACACGATTATAAATGAAGTTCAGAACAGAACAAAACAGACCCTAAGCTTGCTGTTTTGGACATCTAAATTAAATACCTACAGAATTTTTAGAAGTTCTATGATTTCCACGGCTTCTGCTATAAAATAAAGTGTTGTACTATCCACGAAGGGAAACACACCATCCCTTCATCGTCTTGTATAATAAATATCTATTACTTTGCGTTCACGAAATAAAGGTTTCAAATTCTTGCATCTTTTGCGTCAAAGAGAAAAAGATGCGAAGCGGATTTCAATTACGTAACAATTTTAAACAACACAATTTAAAGAATCCGCGTTTTCGCTTTGAAATACTACCTTACCTCAGATGTCTCTGAAGTTACCCTAAATTACGTGGGACACTGTTTCACTCTGCGCGATTACATTCGTCTTTTTGTATAAAAATCTGGAGCACAGCAAGCGAAATCTGCTGTTTATTTATACATGATACCCGTATGATATTTGTTTTTGCAATATACATCACGTGGTTAAATGCAAAAATGAACTACTCACCCCGATCATCGTATTTATATCCCAAAAATTCGGAAAAGCACTTCAAGTAGGCCGTAGTGTTGGCAGGGGTTGGAGGCCAGCAAAGGACCAGATCCGACGACGCGTTGCAATACTTTCCCTCGCCTAAATTTGTGAAGTTCTCGTTGTCTTTATGCTTTATTTTACAGTACAAATCGAAGAGGTCCTTCTTGTCACTACTATTAAAATCGGGAAACTCCACGTTTATTAAATGGCTGTTGTTATTCAAACCCATCTCGATTAGGAGGTCGCGCGAATCCTGCGGGAGATTCGCCAGTTCCAACTCCAAATCCATAATAAAGTTCGCGCACTTTTTACTAATTATTCACATAACTGAACTTTAATTAAGACACTTATCTTTACAAGCTCCATTGTACTTCTACAACATTCAGATTGTTGTACGTTTGCCATGGCCTTTATCACTTATTTGCTTAGATGTTTAACCAACCGCTGGTGTATCTCAGTATATTGTTGAGCCCTAAAAGTACTAATAATAGTTTATCTTAATTACCACAATGAAAACTAAGTCCTTGATTTGAAAATCATCGCTAACATCAGATTAAAACGTTTCGTTTTAGTGGTCGCTGTATTTTATCAAGGAGGTGGAAAAGGATTGCCTGGAACCCCTAAATTAAGCTCTAAATTTTACATAATTCGGTTAGAAGCAAAATGGATGTGTAACAAGGTTTGTCGCTTACGTTTTTTTGTCGTCTATATTTAAAAGACACTATTTACTTTACATCTACGATAAGATTTGTTGATGTTTAGCATGACTATCTGTATCACACCAAAGATTAATGATCCGCTACCGTTTAACGTAGGTATGTAGTAACTACAACTTTCCCAATAGTATATCTTAAACACCATTATCTTTTAATTAAACCTGACTTCCAGCATTTTTCATCTTGTAGGAGGTATAAGGAAGCTTGTTTGAGTTCAAAAAAGAACTTGATAACTTTATTTCGGGTTAATTAACTTCGAAATGTTTCAAGACATTTAGTGCATAGCTAATGGCCTCTTTAAAATAGAACGTTAATCTTGTAAGATTGTTGAATTTTCGGAAGAGGGAACAAAGCGATCTTTTGTGGGGATGAAATATATTTTTGTTAGCATTGCTACCAGATTCGTACTTTATCCTGATGAAATTGCTCTTAATCTCGTCTCTAATTCTTCTAGTAACTACATAACAGTAATTGACTATAGTGACATGGCACAACCCTCTAAAAGACGGATCAACAACTAGTCATTGGTAAAGGATGCAGAGGTAATGGCCGCACGGGGAACCATTGAATTAAAGATCTGTTCATATCCCTAGTTGGCAGTGGCGGAAATGAGAAATGAAAAAACAAGATACGAAGAATCGCATACGATTTTCAGTAGGGGAATTTTTCGCCAATCGGCTCGTGTTCGAAAACCAGACTTTTGATCCGGCTCACTGATCCTTGAACTTGTAGAAATCGATTGCCATCGTTATCTTTTTTCGTTCTCGAGGTAGAAGAGGAACAGACGGACAGCGGACAAAACCATCAGTTACGGAGAATTTTTTTTCTTTCGAAAAATTTCCCTGAATAGGATACTTTTTATATTAATTAAAGTTAATATCGGAAGAAAAAATATCTGCTCAATCGGATTTCGTGTGCATCCACGAATAAAGAGAGGAATAGGATTGGATTCGAAACGTTGAACCCTTTTTCAAAGCGAAAAACTAGAAAACCTAAACGCTCAGAACTGATTTGGACTTTATTGGTGTCAGAGAAGTGAGATGGAGTGGATGTGGAATAGAAACAGTAGAACATTTCACCTTCTACTAGTGGGAATCAAAAGTATAAATTGTGCACAACTCTTGTGCACATAAAGCGCATGTTTTAAACCAAAATAGCTAAATGGTTGGGTTATAAGGTAGTAGTATGCTATCGATGTGTACTTTCTTGGTAGATGATTAATGAGGAGGAAGCTCTTTACACATATAAAGTTTTAAAGGCCGCCTGGCATACATTCACAATCCTCCGACACTCTATTCTGCACCAATAGATTGCCTTTTATAAGTACCCCCTTCAGACACTTCGTTGTCAAGGTATTTGCTTCGACTTCACCAGCAGATATGTCTCGTCCAGTCGATTCATTTAGTCTTTGAGAGTACTTTCCTCCGACGAACAGTTTTCGAGATATTCCCTCTTAAAGTTTTGACATCACCCCCCTCCCTTTAAGACAGCCAAATTTGATGGCTGTTTGGCACAGCTTCGAGGTATAGCCCTATTACAAAAAATTCCAGGACTCTAGAATCATTCCTAGCCTAGAAGTAGTTCAAAATGGCCGGACGGACAAAAAGCAAACAATAGGTAGCCCATTTTTTTTTCTTAAAAAAATGCGCTAAAAATAGAACAAGATACAAAGAATCGCATATGATTTTCAGTAGGAGACATTTTTTCCACTCAGCTCGCATTCGGAAAGCAGACTCTTAATCCGGCTCATATTCACCAGCACTGATCCTTGAACTCATAGAAATCGATTGGCGAAGGTTTGATATCGGTGTCACTTTACTTTTTTCGAGTTATACGAGGAACAGACAGACAGTCAGACAGAGGAACAGACGGACAAAACCACCACATAAAGGAAATTGTTTTTCTTTCGCAAAATTCCCCTAAAAACTGTACGGAAGAATTAGGACAGAGGAAGGACAGAGATGCTGTAATATTGTGATTCAAAAATGCCAGTATGGGTAAGGAGGAGGTTGCGGGAGTGGTTGGAAAATACGGACTTGAAAAAAGAAGCTGATTGAGTGCAAAGAAAATAACTTGATTGCTTCGAACACATGGTTTGAGAACCATAGAGAAGGCGCTACACCTGGGAAGCACCTTTTTAGCACATTTTATATTGGTTTTATAACTATTTTGATACGAGGCCGGAATTCCGGTAGAGCCCTTAACGTTCGCGACACGATTAAAAACTATAAATTCACAATTTTGCAAAATCAAAAGAACGCCATGAGAGTACTTTCCAACTCTAAAAATTGGTGCAGTGAGAGAGAGTGCGAAAAAATCAAGAAACAATGCACCCTTAAAGTTCGTTGTGACAAATGGGAGGCTCAAAAAGTGAATGAGTGTATCTGGTTCTGAATTCAATATACCATTTTCTTTCTTGGAAAACATAGTTTCGAAAAATTACAGCCAACACGAACAGTCGATAATGATAGCATACAACTTAGCCCATAAAGATTGGTTAGAAAGGCTCCCCAACCGCATTAATCGTTCATTGATTTATTCTAAATCCTTTCAAAAAGTTGGCCGTGGTCTTTTGTAGCAGGATTTTCCGAAGAGGGTATGTGCACAACAAAAACGGCTTATACTACATTAACGTACATTAAATCCTGAAGACAAGATACATTAAACGATTTTTGAACATTTGTAGGCTGGAAAATGTAGAACTTTTTTTTACTTTCTTAACTGCGGTTTTGAAATTCTTTGTACTTCCCTTCCCTTTTGCATTAAACATCCCTCCTTCTCCATTCCTTGTAGCATAAAAATTCTAACCGTTTGCTAGCAAATTTTTGAAAATTTTACCCAAAAAAGAAGGATCAACCCCAATGTGAATAGTTAACGATAATTTTCAAAATCAAGTCTACGACATATTTAAGGTATACTTACATAGCACTAACGGGCACTCCAATACTGAGGTACAAGGTAGCCATCTGAAAAAAAACAAGAATATTAATAGATTAAATGATTAAGGTGATGATGAATTAAATGATTTTGCTTATAAGTTTCCAAAACTTTGAAAATGCAATTCTACACTGGTTACTTCAAATGGCCCGACTTCGTATTATGCTAAATTCGATAAAGATTATTCCCCAAAAACAGAAATTCAGACTCATCAAACGCTGTTCGTCAAAAATAAGTTTTTTTTAAATTCGGAAACTTTCACAATTGCCCTTTCTGTCAAAGCTCACCTTTTTCAGGTGTGTCAGGAACCATCAATGAATTATTTTGACATTTTGTGAACGCTTACTACACCAAATTTAATAACAAGACTTTTTTTTCAAACTTAAATAAACAATTTTTAGCATTTTGGAGTGGTAGAGGTGAGAAAATGTCAAAATAACCAAATGACAAAAAAAGCTTTATTTAGGTTATTTACTGCATTTATTTATCATTTAATTGTGTTCTGTATACATTTTATAGTTTTTTTTTATAATTTTTTAAATCGTTTTCATTTTTAGTGTAAATGTTTGCTGAATTTATGGTAATGTTTGGATTACATGGTCTTGGTCTGAAGTTCATATTTATATATTTGGTCATTCGTTTAAATATGTGGAATTTATCGAATTGTTGCTAACGAAAACCCTTTGGTTTAGACCACATATTTTGTTGTTAACTTTGAATTTGCCTTACAAGGCCATGTAATTTTCCACGTGTCTTTTAACGAAGGAAAGATGGAAGGAAGGCAGTGACCAACCACCACACCTGTCTGTGTTGGTCATGCCCTCCCACTTTGGGACTAGGTCAAGAATAGGAAAATTTCAGGAGTAATATCTCCAAGGTTACAGTATGGTGCGTAAGGATCGCCTACCTTTAGGCTTATCCCCATAAGTAAGGGTAAAAATCCAAGATGAGAGGATTGGAATTGTAACTAAAGTTAGGCAGGAATTACCGTAGTAGCTTAAAGAGGAAACTGAACTAAAATTAAAATATGTTCTAAATATATGCAAATAAACTGTTTCAAACCAATATAGAAAGCGAGCGACAAAGACGGACGGACAGAAAGTTCAAATGACAAATTTAACAGTTACTCCCATGACCATTGTGCACCTATCCCTAAAAACACAATTCAAAAATTAATTCGAAACCGTTCGCGAGTTCATTAATGATTCAAAACAGCACAAATTAGGGTTCAAAACACCGTTGGTAACAATTATAATGATTCAATTACACAATTTAGTGTATTTAAAATCGCTTCAAACCAAAACGGGCGCGATTTCTAAGAATGTATACCTGTAAATAGGATTAATTATTGTAATTCAATGGCATAATTTAATTTATTATTGTATTCCATATTTATTAGATTTAGCGCCCCCTCTGATACATGAGATTCAGTGCAAACAGCAACCTCGTAAATATAATAGGACGGTTACATTATCGGAAAAATAAACCCACGAAAGGATATAAGCGAGTTGAGCGAGCATAGGTTTTGTGTCGCCTGCCTTAGGGGGTTAATCCACGAAGCCCGAAATTTAATCAATGTCATGACCTATCTGTGTATCAATTATACGGAGAAACAAGACAATGTAAGGGGGTGCTACGCCAGTCGTAAGAAACTTAACACCGCTAAAACAAAAAAAAGTTTACATAAATCTGAAGAATCGAAGACTAAGAAGTGGATGCGTCTCTTCTTCACCTGGTGTTCCAAATTTGTGTTTATTTTATGTTTTTCTTTTTACGCACTCTCGTAATATTAACATTTAATCCAAAACCCAAAAAGTGAAGTAAAGATTTCTCGCGAAGAACGTTTTTCGAAATTGAAGTTCGAATCTCTTCGAAAACTTTCGTCTTAATTACCCGCAAGGATGTCTCTCGCTTTCTCGCTGCCCAAACTTCAACATTTTTCCCCAGATTCATTTCTACTTATTATTTTTGAATTAATTAACACCCACAAAATGGCATCATATGAATGAAAAGGGAAAAGAACTAACGTTTCATGTATATGGTTCACGTTGCGTTCCAATATAATAATATAATAAAATCACTTAAGATACTCCTGTCGTCAGATTTTCTAAAGATATTAAAAGCTCAACACACTATAGAGTTCAAATGAGGCAGAAAAACAATCGCTAAATTTTAATTAAAAGCTTCTAACTTCCCTACAATTTGAAATTACCAACCCTATACTTCGACACCCTGTACACATTCAAATGTTATGATAGCGAATAAACGTTCACATTATTGCTTCCTTCCTTTCGGCCCGTTACGTGGTTTTTTCGAATGAAATAAGAACGCTTTCAGAAAGTTTTAAATTATTCTGCCAGTACGAGAAGTGCTTTTTCAAAATGCAGTGTCTTCTTATTTTGCTTGAAACATTATCCTGGTTCGTTCCTATTGATTGATAGTGCATTACTAGTTTTAAATAAGTGAGTAGTTGGTATGGCTTTAGAAAATTTGTAGGTTTGTTTGTTTCAAAAGATCAGATTTCTCATATTTATTTATTAAATTTTGGAGGTTTCCGGAATGGAAACTCATCTCAATGTAACGAATTCTGATTTAGTCTCATCCCATTTGATTCCTTCGATGCCACAAAATTGATTAAAGCCAAATTGCGCGTAAACGTCTCGTCTACATTATTTATTCCTTCCAATTAACCGCTTTTATATCGTTTGGGACGTAAGCGTAAAGTAGAGTTACCGTCTTTCAAGTTCGTTAACGAAATTACTTTATAGGCGTAGTTTGTTCAACTTTTTAAATTTTAGAGCAATATCAATTTGTGAACATTACGAAAACCGTGGAAACTTTCCCGTTGCTTGATATTGAACCTAAACTCTCACTTCATATTGCAAAGTTAAGGTTACATAAAGTACTAAGGATTCTTGTTAGAAGTTGGCCAAAACAGGATTTGTAGAAATAAAGTCAAGTAAAATATTGCTTCATACATAACGTATTCTTAATTTCAGTTTAAGTACGCATAGAATTTGCTACAAATTGCAAATAGTCTGCTTGATACATGCCAGACATACATTTTGTGCAAATTAGTCGAACACATTTCTATTTCAAGTTCTTGTTAAAATTTACAGTAGATTACGAGTTAATTTTAATGCCGCTCGTTTATTCTTAATTTAAAACTTATCTATTATAGTTGAACGAGTACAAATATTTGCAAACAGTAGAGCTTAGATTCATGCCAAAAAGATCAAGAACAATCCGATTACCGTCTTTATTTTTTTTCAGATATAAACGATTGTAGTTTTTTACAATGGCTAGAAATAGGTAGTATATACAACACGTGTTTTTTACTTACCTATTTTAGTAAGCTATACATACATTTCCATTTCTGATATATATAATAGCTATTTATATATCAAGTACATAAACTGGGTCTTTATGGACGAGCCGTTTATTTAGCCGAGCGAGCTTGCGAGCGAGGCACAAAAAAACAAGGCGAGTCCCCATAAAGCCTATTTATGGACGCGATATATACAAAGATTTATGTACGACTGCAACAACCCCAAATGAAAATTTCATGGAATTCAATAAACGATAAAATCTATATATCATTGACAACAGATGTCAAGTATTTCTAAAATTCTTGAATTTACCTTGGATTGACACCTAAGTACGACTGTCACATTGACAGGCGGCCGTTTTACTTTATCCTTATGGACTAAGCCATAATATTACAAATTATGGCCACTAATTGCGACTGTAATCACCGCATTATCAAGCAGTCGTACATAAAGTTTGTTTTAGAAACACTTGACAAGAAGAATTGTAACCAAGGTTAGTTGAATTTAGTTAACTCATCATAGTAAACATTGAATATCTTTAAGATCCGCTGTCAGAAAAAATATTAATCTGTATAAAAAATGGGATGTAAACTTGGAATTAACGACACTTGGATGCAATTTGCAATTTTGGTATTTGAATGTATTTAGCCAGTCATAGAGGCCGTTGAATATTTCATTTCTGTCAGGAATCAGGGGATTCCGTAACACTTTTATTGAATGTAACCAAATTCAATGTTTTTACTTATATCGTGATATTAATAACGAATACAAAAAGAGTGTAACCGTATTTACCTGTATTAGTACAAGTCAAATACAGTGTGTCCCAGGTAGAACCACGCGGACTCCCTGGGACACACTGTATAAAAAGTTAAGGTATTTAAACGTAAAAAATGAGATGCAAAAAAGAAGGTGATGGAATCTTTTCTAATGATAAACTGCTTTATACACAAATTCGAGAGATTTCGAGTTTGTACTTACCATTTTAAATATTCATTGCGTGTTCCCTTACTAGAACGATTTCATATTTACGAATGTGTAGTAATTAACAAAACCGATGTTTTATATCACAATGAATAAAATCGGATATAAAACAAATACACACGATCAGGGTTGCCAATAAAGATTTTACAATCCCTTAGTCGTACTGGTTTGACCCTACTCGATGTACGTAGTAACCACGCTAGCGCTCTCTTTAATAATTGATTCCGACACCCTTTAGAAACTAACATTTGGACTTCTTTGTTTTTTACCTGAAAATTTAGAAATCTGACTGTCCGTTTTCAGACACCATGATGAAAGTTAGATAGGTACTCGTAGATACACTGAATTGAAAGTAGCTGGGGGTAAAATAAACATTTTTTCACAAATAAACTAAGATTTAAAAGTGTTTTTCGTTTTAAAGCTCCGGAAGAAAAAGTGTCTATACACAGCAACGATAATCCATAGAAGGATACACTAACCCCTTACTTACGATTTTGCGTATGCCCTCTTCGAAAATTATTCTAAATGCTGGCCCCAAACCCCCCTAAACTTTGCAATTGTAGTGTACAGATTATGCTCATTTAACCCTAGAAGATTAAATAAATTATTTCCGCTTTGTAAGTTCGCTCATGAGCACCCTATATTTTTCCTTAACATTTTCTGTGCGCCCAGTTGTCCCAGCGCCCAGTTGGCCGCCCCCAATGGTCTTACACTGTGCC